TTCCCCCTCACCCCTCCTCCTCCTCCTTCTTCTTCTCCCAAATCATTTTCATCACCTGTGTTATACCCAAAACGTCTTACCATCCTTTTCTTGTTTTCCAAATGGTCAACTTCAGTTTATCTTTAAGTTCATGCGTCATACGTCTATAAAGATTTGACTTTTTTTCTTAACCTCAGCATACAGCTAATCAGTTTTATTCTCCCTTACTTTATGGATACAGTTATTACGAACAGAAAGAAAACTAAATAAGCTTTCTGGCTTCGCTTTTAATTCTTTGACTTTTTTTTTAAAAAGGCACACAACTTGGCAATTCATGATTGCCATTAACTTTGTTTCCTTAATTTTGTTTAGCTGACTAAGATCATCTATTGGGTTAAAAACCTTTATCTAGAGAAAATATAATATCAGCATCATCTAAGGAAACTTCTTTTCCCCATCTCCCCATACTCTATAAGGAAAAGTAGTCTTTTCTCTCATTCTCTAAGGAAAACATACATTTTTATCATAATGACTAAAACTTTCAGTACCCTTGAGCAGAGAAAATAAAAATGCATAAGTCATAGAGCTTTCTAGGCCGTGGGTTCCAGCAGCTCTGGTGGCATGAGGAACGGCAGCGGTGGAGCTGCGTAGCTCTGTGAGGCTCCCGTGTGCCTCAACCCGCAGCCTCCGCAAGCGCCCCAGAGCGCGCCGCCAAGATGCCCAAAGGAAGGTCAGCTCCGCTGAAGGGGCGGGGAAGGAGGAGCCCAAGAGGAGATCGGCGAGATTGTCGGCTAAACCTGTTCTAGCTAAAGTGGAAAGGAAGCCAAAAAAGGCAATGGGAAAGGATAAATCTTTGGACAAAAAAGTGCAAGCAAAAGGGAAAAGGGGAGCCAAGGGAAAACAGGCTGAAGAGGCTGATCAAGAAACCAAAGAAGATGTACCTGCGGAAAATGCAGAAACTAAAAATGAGGAGAGTGCAGCTTCTGATGAAGCAGAAGAGAAAGAAGCCGAGTCTGATCAATCACACACCATGTCTTATCAGTGCTCCCTGTCTCCCTTCTTGTACAATCCAGAAGAATATTTTTATCAACTATTTTGTAAATGCAAGTTTTTTAGCAGCTCTAGAAACATTTTTAAAAAGGAAGGAATCCCATCTCATTGCATTTTTTTAAGTGTAAATGATTTGTTTTAGGGTGAAATCATTCTCTGTTTTTTTTTTTTTTTTTTTTTTTTTTTTTTTTTACAACCAGAAATAGTGGGATATTGAATTATGGCAGGCTTTGACAGTCTTGAATGTCAGCTTAACATTCCATAGGTTCGGGTTAGTTTTATGTCCTGCAGTACAAAGCATACCAAATGGCAATTCGGAATTACAGTCCTGCATTTAATATGTCTTGCATACTTTAAATGACTTTTAGTCCCCTGTTTTCAGTAGAGTTGTTTCCTAAAGAAAACTACATCCTAATTGTTGCCCTGTCAGAATCATGCGCATTCTGTAACATCTTTGGTAGTGGTAGTTCTGATTGCTTCATTTTGTTAATGTGCTGTGAAACATCAAAGATTTGAATATGTAGTGTATATGATACAAAATTGTGAATTGGTGGGACTTAAGTAACACTTTGTCAGCATTTAAAGATACTAGTACTTAATCCTCTTATGGAAAATTTGCCTCTAAATTTGAAGCTGGAAAGTCACTGGAACAATTGAAAAATGATATATGACATTTTTTGGTATGTGTGTTAAGAATTGTGTACAAAGTGAATCATGTGTACTGATCCTCAAAACATCCAATAAAATCTCAAATATTTAAGATTAAAAAAACTTTCTAATTAGGAACTTTCATTTAAATTTACAAAATACAGAATATTGAATAACCTATAGATAAACGCAACCATGTGAACCAATCCTAGCCCAGGCCCAGTGAGTGTGTGGAAGACCTTCCAGCTACCCTGTGCCGGCAGGACCTACTGGTCCCAGCCCAGGTGCAGCATGGGTAAAACCCTCTTCCACATCCTTGGGACACCACACACCACTCCACAGTACCTCCCCGACCCTGCCCGCCAAGTAGGAATTTCTGCCATTTCCAGGAACCCCCAGACACAGTCCTAGCCCAGTCCCGGTAAGTGTGAAGGAGAGATTCTGGCTACCCTGCACCCGCGGGACCTACTGGTCCCAGCCTAGGCACAGGGTAAAACCCATTTCCAACCCCCTGGGACACCCCCATCACTTCTTAGTACCACCCCACACACCGCCTGCCCAGTTACAATCTGCCAAGTACTGGGAACACCCAGATCCAGTTCTAGACCAGGCCCAGTGAGTGTGTGGGAGAGCTACTTCTCCCCGCTACTCCACCTTGTCCCCTCCAGACTCAGCTCAGGCCTGGCATACAGGCCTATATGAAACCCTGCAGTTGCAATCCCTGCAGAGAGTGTAGGGAACAGAACCACCCAGCTAGTCCAAGAGCAGAACATCTTGCCAGAGGGCACAACAGGTTCACCCTCAAGATCAGCAACAGGAAAGAGCTGAGCATGGTAGCCAGACCCAAGCCAGGCACAGCTGGATAAATACAAACTTTGCAGATCTGCATCTGAACTTCAGTAGGTGCTAAGGTTATAACTGCAACAAAGATCTACA